GGCCAGGGTCGGGCCCAGGCAGCAGCCCCATTACTGTCCTGTGCTCGTGGGATTGGAAAGCATACAAAACAGTAAATTTTTCTGCACGGCCCTTCAGCAGGTCCAGACTGCAATTTCGTTCTCAAAATGAATTCCACTAGATGTGCATACACAGCCGCGTGAGAGGACAAGGAGCAATGAGATTCAAAGAACCAGAGAAACATGAGAGCCCACAGCTTTGAGGCAATGCTAGTTCCTCTGGTTGCTTCTCTTCTGTGTCTCAGAAAAAAATGACAACTGTTCCCTTTGATAAAATAGTCTGCACTGACTACTAATAGCATTTCCTTTTTCGTTTTGTTCTGTTTTGGTTTTTTTTTTTCTGTATCTCATATGGTAATCTACAGGAATACAATTTAGCATGGAGAAGCACAGCAAATATATCCACTTTATGGGTAGAAAGTTGTAAGGGTCCATGCAGCTGCACAGCAGGCAGTGAGAAAGAAAGGAGAGGATGCTGGCTGGGAGCATTAAGACATTTTTCTGCTTTTCAGCCTTCTTTTCTGATGAAGGGAGAGTGGATTCATAAATGATTTACGACTCGCTGAAGGAATTTTAAAAAGTATCACAGTCATTCCCCATACAGATGTGAAAATAAATCATTTTAAAAATAGGAATAGAATGTGGTATTGAACTGGATAGTATTGTTTGGGGACCTGCATGAAATTATTATAAATCAAGGTGAAAACTTCAAAGAGACTTTGAGAAAGTCGTAACTTTTTGGAAGAAGCAGTAAAATAAGAAAGACAATTATTTTTAAGATGGAAGGGGGACAGGCATCTTCATTTGGAGACAGGCACAAGAAGTGTATTAGGAGCATGCACTGGGGACTCCCATAAAAGCAGAGCTGGGGCACAGGTGGGAGAAACTGTCCAGGCCAGGGATGGGGATGGGAGAGGGAGTTGTGCTGAGAAGCCTCCAAAGTGGAGAAAACCGAAGAGAGCGTTGAGGCAGAGTAGAACATGCAGATGATGGAAACTCTTGGTTAAACAGTCTCTGTTGTCTGCTTGCTTCTTTCCGCTTCCCCTCTAAGGAATCACACAACTGCTAGAGGGTGGGAACCTTGAGCTCTGCTGCTATTACAGAAGCCACCCTTGCGTGTGTTAAGGCGACAGGATGGCTTCAGGCCTCCCCAGGAAGCCACGGGCACCCTCCGCTTCTGATCTTTGTGCTGTTGTCCCCCTTGGTACACAACGGTCAGAAGGGACCTCTGGAGATCCTCCAGTCCAACCATCACCTCAAAGCAGGACTGCCAGCTACACCGGGCCTGGTCAGCTGTGGATTTGTCCAGCCAAGTCTTGAATAACTGCGAGATTATTAAAGTTTTTCTCCCGGTCTAACCCAGAGTGAGAATTGCAATACAGGATCTTGTGCTTGCATTTAGGGTTGAGAATGTCCCAAACAACGATCAGTAATGTAGGCTTATTCTGTCCATTAACAATGGGAAACAAATTTTTTTTCCTACCATTTCTCTGCCTTTGCATATTTTCCTTCTTTGTCATGTGCATAATGGCGCTAGTTGTTGAATAGTGCCAAGGTAATACTAAGCAATTCCTAATTGGCTTGGTATGCACATTTTAACTTGCCTTGGAGTCAAATGAATGTTTGTTCCTTCTCATATTTCTCGCAATGCTTCACTGCTGTGAGAGAAAGAAATCTGGATGTTTTTCTGAATCAAGTGTCCTTTTCAAAATTAATTAAGCCTTCGTTAATGATGCAGAAATCCTCATTAATGAGGATAAGTCAGTTAGCTGAGGCAGCCCAGTTTAGCATTCCAAATCCCAGGCTAGGACTGGCAATTTAAAATACAAATTTAATGAAAAGTCCCGTGAATGAAGGAGGTATATGTAATCATCTGTCATTTTATTTTCTTAGTGAGATTTGTGCAGGGAATGCAAAATCATTGACAGACAATTACAATCTCTGAAAATAGGCTTTTTTTTTCACCATGTGATTTCACTTCAGACCATGTTAATGCTGAGTGAAGATTTACATCAGGAGAAGAGAGTACAAATTCCTAAAATAGCATAAGTTGGTCATAGGGCAAAAATTCATTTTCTGGATAGAAGCCATCTGTAAGAAGCCTAAATAGCATTGTGGATCAGTGAAGGTGTGGAACCACTTTTCTCTCTACTAGGACCTGAGTTTTGGAATATGCCACATGTTGAGGCTACCTCAATACAACATCATTTGTCATCAGTAAGAAGGTCTGCAGCACGCGTGTTGTTTTATTCTAGTCAAAGTTGTTGCTAATTGATTAGTGCTCCCTGTCTCAGTGTCTCAGTTTTTTTCCGTCACCACCCATCCCTGTCAGAGGCAACAACCACTCATGCATGAATGTCACCACAAATGTGACCAGCCTTGCTCAGTGCTGTCACTTGTTCCATTCAATGCACTATGCAGCCAAGCACATCTAGTTTTTCTTTTAGTCTGTTTTTCATCTTATTTTTATAATTGGATTACCCGTACAGGAGCAAATAAAAAAGATCAGACAACAATGCTAGGACTTGCTGAATAGAGATCCAGGCAGCCCTTTCCCAAACATTCCAACACCTGTCTTTGGTGTGCATGAAATTCACTTTTGCAGCTCCAGATCACTGCATCCTTGAGCCTTCCTTAGTCTGACCTGTAGGGCAATACCACTTTGCTTGACAGATGATATTTTGCCCCAAATAAAAGAGACTTTTGTTATATTTTTTTGTAGAGAGCTAGATGCTTTCTTTCATTTATTTTCAGTGATACTATACTTTTCATTGTGGGGTTGTTTCGTGCATTTTCCAGTCTGTCCTCCAGTGACAATTCTTTACAGCTACGATGCTGCTTCCCTTCTTGACCTGAAAGGTCAGCAGTGGCTGCCCTTTGAGAAAGACATTATTGAGTCTTCCCTCACTCAGTGAGTCTGAGGCTGCTAACCCTCTTTATAAAGGCTCTACAATTCTTTCTCAGTAATCCATATTTCCCTTCCCATCCCATCCCTTCCCATGCCTTCCCTCTTCTGTGGATTATCTGTTGTATGATATGTGGTCAGCTCATTTTACAACCTCAGTATATTTAGGTTAAAGCAGTAAATCAGCTGTAAGATATGAGTCATAAAAATTACAGTATTAATTAATTAAATAATTACAGTAATTAACCATTTTCTGCCAAGATGTGAGACTGTTTGGTTAATCTGAAATTGATAGATGCATAAACTGTTAAAAAATGTTTAATTCCATCATCTTCTTTGTAATATTCTTATTATATATATAAGAACAATAGAAAATAGTTAATGATCCTTAGCCTCAAGTCCACATGATCTGCCACAAACACATGATTAACTTTAGTCGAAAGTAAGTACCAGGGCAGTTCTGCAAAGTTTAACTTATTCCTTAGTGACATAAATATTCAATGTGTCTTCTTCCAGAAGAAACTGTAAAATTAGAACCCCCGTGGGTATTATTTGGAGGTTTTGTCTGGTGAATGTCTGCATGTGAGCAACACAAAGCACTTGTCTGTGCATGTACCCTCTTCTTAGTGTTAATTGTTGATCTTTATTGATTTAATGTCATTTAAATAAAAAGAAGATGTGTTTTGGCCAAGATCCACACTTCTGTGATGTCTGGCAGCTGCCATTATGGTGGTTCTCCATCATCAGATAACAGAATCACAGAATAGTTGAGGTAGGAGGGGAACTCTGGAGGTCATCTGGTCCAACCACCCTGGTTTCCAGGATGAGCTGCTCCATCATTTTTCCAGGACTCAAGGTGGAGCTGATTGGCCTGTAGTTCCCTGAGTTCTCCTTCTTGCCCTTCTTGAAGATAGGAGTAACATTTTATTTCCTCCAGTCTTCAGGCACTTCTCCCAGCCTCCCTGTTTGATCGAAGATTATCAAGAGTGCCCTTGCAATGACATCTGCCAGCTCCCCCAGTGCTTGGTGTATTCTATCAGGGCCCATGGACATACATATGTTCAGTTCACTTAAGTATTCCCTGACCAGATCCTCTTCCACCAAGGGTACATCTGCCTTGCTCCAGCTTTTCCTCAGCTTCTCTAGAACCTGGGATTCCTGAGTCAGATTGTATGTGGTTATGGGAATTCATTCAAACTGCTGCCATGGCTGAAGCTAGCAGGTCTGATGGATAATCTTGGAACTGCATTTTAAATGGCAGGTGTTTTCTGTGTGAAAACAAAATTTAAGTAGGTATCTAAGGACACTTTATAACATCTTAGAAGACCTGCTGCATTTTCCAGGTGATACCTGTGAATGGGCCAGAATATGTGGAAAAACAACCTAAGGTCTTTATAGTCAATACTGACAAGATCCAAAACATGAGAGGTCCTTTTTCTGCATGTCAGTGACTCATGCTAAAAATCTCCCTGTGGATATAGCAAGAAGAGATGTGTTTAACCAGAGGCTTGTACTCATGCATTCCATTACTGAGCTGGCTGGAACAGACATTGCCACACTGGATAAGATGCCATTAAAATTGTACCTTTATTACTGTTCCGCCAATTCAGACAGTGGATAAATCTATCATCCACTCTTGCTACTTAATAACCAGCTGTCATAGTCCTTGTAATGTAACACTTTCATTATGTTCAGAAATAGGACACACAAAAGGATAGCAAATGATCCTGAGAAGTCTTCCCCAGACAGATAAATGCTACTAACAATAAAGTAAGTTGTTATTATTAGCATTGTGATGTTAATGAAAATTATGGACAATTACATGGTCTTGAAGCTAGCTCTTCCTTTTCTGTATAGTTTTTTGATTTTTTAATTTTTTTTCGGTGCAGATGTCTTAAAAAAGACACCCACGCAGTTTGCAGAAGTTTGAGAGAAATGGTGCATATTATTTATGCAGCAGAAATTCTCAGGAAGCAGACTACAGTAGAAAAAGATTGTCTAGTTTGCTAGTTTAAAAATTCTGAATCATGGTCATGCATTATGCCACAAAATTGATGTTGTTTACATTTTCTTTTAGGAACGTCTCTTGATGAGTCTTTTGCCCAGGAATGTTGCAATGGAAATGAAAGAAGACTTCCTGAAGCCTCCTGAAAGGATTTTCCACAAGATTTACATTCAAAGGCATGACAACGTTAGGTATGATTGATGTACCCCATGAAATAATTTAAAGCAGAGAATATTTAGTACCAGTACAGTGAAGATCTGGCATTTATTCAGAGGGGGAGAATGGATACACTGGGAAGACTTAATGGTCTTCTCAGAAGATAATGGTGAATCAGTAAATGGCTTAGAGTAGTAGTTCTGGGAGGCAGACAACTTTATGCAAGTGAGTAGTTATTCTTTTTGTACTGTATTACATTTTGGGTGAATAGGAGTATTTCTTTTGCATGGTAACTTTTACACATTTTTATTTTCCTGATAGTAAGATGGGTTACATTTAATGCAGTAAAATTTCTGGGTAATAGCATGGAAATACAAAAATGCAGAAAGAAAGTGTGGTGTACACTTAAAAAAATGTGTATTTGTCCCCATCATATGAGCATTCCTCCTCAGAGGTTATTGACTGAGGCTCAATTCTACTTCTTGCTCCTGTTTAGTGAAAGACTGTTGTGCAAGTGCTCTCACTTATTCTGGTAGTTGTTAAAGTGCAGTTTGATTTGCTATTCTTCTCTGCCCCCCCAAACAAATTCCTTAAAGGCCTTGTCTGAATGGTGTTTGTTTTACCATACTGCCTCTAGCTACTTTTTCTTCAAGTGCCTTTCTTCCACACCAAAACCAATGTCGAGTAGGTTTACTTGGTGCCACCCTTGCACTAGGCAAGGTGCAGGCTTAGTAAGTGATGCTACAGAGCTGCCTTGATTTGCACCGTGTACTCATGTGACAAAGGAGTAAATTCCCTTAGCACATCCTCCTCACCCTCATCCGCTGGTAAGTTCCTTCTCTTGGGGTTCAGTCTACCTCCCCCTGAGCTGAGACTAATATTTGCAAGGCCTGCTTCCTAGTGACCAAGCTGGTGCAACTAAAAGCATTTACGCCAATGAGGGAATCAGAGATGGCTGTGATCAGTGTGTTCAGAAGACAAACACTGACAAATTAGGTCAGTTTTACAATGTAAAGTTAAACATTACCAAATTTGTTCATTAGCAGCTCACTTGTTGCTGATGGTTAAATCTCACATAATGTTGATCACCATTACTACGTATACAAAACTCTTGGTCTTTAACAATCAATTTAAAGTTAGCTCTAATTGTACAGAACCCCAGAGCTGATGCTGCAAAGTTAGCATTGTTGGTTACAGTCTTTGATGGTTCTCAATTGCCAAAGTCAGGCTTGAGAGCTCATGCAGGAGAGAATTCAAGATCAAAGTGGGCTGTCTTCCTTCTCCAATTTTCCTTGTTTATGTTTCATGCTTTTGTGCTGTTGTCCCCCACCAACACCATTTGTCTTCTTTTATTGTTCTTGCCAATCTTCCATCCTTGGATGATGTCCTGACTATTTGCAGTCACTTGTGCTTATCTTGTCTGCTGCCTGCCAGATTTTTGTTGCTTGGGTGCCTTCTACTGTCTTTGTTTGACCCACTGGTGAGCACAATGGCTATATACTTATAAAAATTGTGTCTAGTTATGCCATCACAGTGCTATGAAATGCATGTATACTACTTTTGATTACACTTAGATTCAGGTTCAAGGTGAGTCAACTACAATTATATCCTGATAAGTATGTGTGACAGGTCTCTGCATTGGTTACAGTGTGGGTAGGCTTCTTAAACACCATGGCTTTGCAGCTGCACTAGTTGATTATAATTCTTCTGAGTCTTCTCTTGAGCTGAGATCTTTTTTAAATGTAACCTCAGGAGTACCTTTTTTTTTTTTCTACATTAAATGGTGTTTCACATAACCACTAAGGCAGCTGTGGTTTACTCACTGCTTTGATGGGCAGTTCATAAAAGATTTTGAACCTGAATACACTGTCTGGAGAGGTGAATTCATTCCTTGACATTAAAAAGGTACTTTGGGGGCAAATGGAGGCCAAGTAAAATGGTTTTATTTTAATGTCAAAGGGAAGAGAACTGAAAACAGGAGACCTCCCCTCACCATCTGTACTGTAAGAATCTGCATTACCTTTTATTTCAGTAATGCAACTACTGTATGGAAAAAAAGAAGATGGGGGAAGGGAGGGGGAAAGTGTCCCAGTAAATACCCAGCAAGATGTTCCTACCAGGTCCTGGTAGGCCGGAGTTTCACCCCAGGAGCTCTGTGACACTGGAGATCTGAAGGATGCAGGGGAAGCCGCTGCAGGTGCCACCCCGACACGAGTGTGGGAGACAGCACTACAGCATCCCACCAGGAAGTGCTGCTGGTGGTCAGTACCAATAGGATGATGCGTGCTTTACCTTTTTAAGGAGATGAAAACAACTCTTTTTTGTTTGAGTAGTGGCAGTTCAGTGCTATTTCAGGCAGACCTGAGAGACCATTCCCATATTCTCATGACTTGCCCTCATCACACCGAGCGTTCTCTAAAACACCACTATTAAAACAAAGAAACAGAAGGCCCCTCTATAGTTCTAGATTCTTGGAGTTTTAAACCCCAAATCTAGACACTGGAAAACAGAAAATGAGACCACACTTTTACCTTTCTTATTTCAATGTTTTCTCTCTTCTCCCAGCAAATATCTGGGAATGTCAGAGCATTACCCTCCAAGATATACAGGAGGAGATAGGCATGAAATTAGTAAGCTGCATGATTTTTCCACTCCCCGCCTATTAAAAAAAAAAACAAAAACAACAACAACAACAAAAAACCCTCACCAGTAACAAAACACATCTGTTTCCGTCTTATGGAACACCCATCTTTCCTATCTTCCAAATAGCTGCTTGAAAAAAGAGTCTTTAAGCATTAGATCTTGCACATGAAATATAAGACATTCATGCAGCTACCTTCTTTACCTTATCCCAGAAAAACACAGGAGTATACACTACAGTGGAGATATACATATCCCTGTAAGAAGTGAATGACGGACTGGGAGAAGATACTGGCATTTCAGATACACCATGACAACAGCCCTGGTTTATCAATCAGTTGGTAAATATTTTACCAACAATCAAATAGTTGTTGAATGACTGCCTGCAGCTGACACTGACTGCTCCTCTGGAAGGGAATGGAAACATGCATCTCCATGTTAAGCACAGAGCCCTCAGTGTTGTGTCATGCTTTGATGAGCTCTTCCCAGGTCTGTAGTAAGTTGCTCACAGATAACTCTCTTCAGTTAGAAATCACTTTTGACCTCCACCTTAGTACGCAGGATTTAATTTTTCTTTCTGCAGTAGAAAGTATTAAACTCTCCTGACATCCATTGAAGATTCCTGTGTGGAGAGGGGATCAGTTTAGAGCTTACTTTATATTTCCATCTGAGACTGTTCTGAGGGCATCAATGAATATGGTCCATAAAAGAGCACTGAATAGATGGCGTCCTACGCAGAATGACGGGAACTTGTAAGGGCCATGGGAACTGTAGTGCTTTGTGTGGGAAAGCCCTTTTCTCTTCCAAAATGCTCACATTTAGCAAATGAAAGATGCCTGCTAAGAAAGACATGTACAAGCTCTTCAAAGAGGAAGATCACTAGGCCCTTACTTTTAGAAAGAAGATAATGCTACAAGAAAAGGATGTTATCCATTTCAACCCTCTGTATGTATTTGTGCCTGCGCAAAAAACCCAAGAGATCTTTCCCAGGCAAGTTTTATTATCTTCTGTGTATGCTGTGTAAAGGATAGTGGTTAAAACAGAATATATTTATCTGTGGAACCTTCACAAGGAAAACATCAAAAGGAATCATCACAAACTGAAGAAAATCAGTCCTGTTTTTGTCAAAGAGAAAGAAATGAGGCCTTTTGTACATCTGCTACCTTGTAAAGTTTTTTTACAGAATTGCTGTACATTAGGAAATGAGTGCATGTGTTTTAAATGGAAACAAACAATGCAAATGTAAATGCAATATGCAAAACAAGACATACAAATACACATCTCATATATGTCCCAGTGAGGACACTAAATTCAAGCATCAGGAGGGTAGAATCATCACAACCAGTATAATACCTGTGCCTCATGAGTAGGAAATAGTCCATATGCAGTTCAGGAGCCATTTCAACACAGTGCAGGTGTTTCTCTTACGGGGGCGACCCTATGCACAGTCACCATGAAGGATGTGAGGACCAGATGACAGCTTACATGTGAAGACTCCCCAACAGAGCATCATTTCTGTGATGCCTGCAGAAGGTGTGCCCAGGGGGAGGACCTCCTGCAGCAGGCAGCTGAGATGCAGGAGGTCATGAGGAGGCTGCTAAGCATCAGGGAGGCTGAGAAAGAGTTAGAAAGCTGGTTCCAAGTGCAGTCTGCATGCACCCACAGCCAAACAGCCAGAAATTCCCGCACTGACACACACGGAAAGGAGAGGGGGGCAATAATGCAGAGGAGTAAAAGCTTGCAATCTCAAGGACCTGCAAGAGGAAGACTTCTCCTGAAGCCTGCTGAAGTGCCCTTTGCAGAACCGCTTCACTGCCCTGCAAACTGAAGAGGAAAGACCAATCACATCAGGGGAGATGCTGCAGCTGAGTAAGGCAGCCTGGTCTGCTCCCTGTATAACAGCTAGTGCAATTAAGAGAAGGGGATGGGTGATAGTGGTGGGTGACTCTTCTGAGAGGCATGGAGGCACCATCTGCCAACCTGACACACTCTAGAGAGGAGTGCTGCTTGCTGGATGCTCGTGACAGGGATAAGAGAGACTGCTGAACCTCGTACAGTCCACTGCTATTATCTGTTGCTGTTGGTTCACGTGGGCACCAGTGATACAGCGAGGAGCAGGCTGAGGAGTATCAAGAAGGGTGGATGACGCAGCCCTGGGAGCGGTGGCAAGGGATGCTGGAGTGCAAGTAGTTTTGTCATCAGTCCTCCCAGTCAAAGGGAAGGGGTTTCAAAGGGCCAGTCAAATCTGGCAAATCAACAATTGGTTATGGGTCTGGTGCCACAGCCAGGGGTTCAGCTATTTATACCATGGGACTCACTTTGACAAACCTGGGCTGCCAGGGTCCATCTGTCAGAGAAGGGGAAGAGCACCTTCAGCCACAGGCTTGCCAAACTG